AAAAAACCAGTGATGCAAGTAAGCTAAGACAACAATAGGGATGGAGGAAGCTTGGGGAACTGACAGTTGCTGGCTATGGAGCAAAATCTAAGCTCAATCAATGGAGTAATTTGCCCGGAAGTACTGGTAGGTAGGGGTGTTCATGGTTCGGTTTGGATCGATTTTTCCCTAATAAGGAACCAAACCAAGTAAGTCGGTTTTTCAAATATTAGAACCAAACCAAACCAATTAAGTCGGTTTTTTCTCGATTCGGTTTAGGTCGGGTTTTGTCGGTTTTTCGTTTTTTCTGTTATTTATCGGTTTTTTCTTAAATATAAGACATACACTACCAAACACATATTCCGGCGACCACATTTTCAACGTAACACTATCAAATCAATTGCCCTTTGAGAAATCTATTATTTTTCAAGATATATTAATGATAATTGAATCAAATAGTAATGAATAATTTAAGGACTCAATTAAAAATATATTATTTTTAACATGAAATGGATTCTTACACTTAACAAAAGAAAACTACCAATCAAACTAGAATGTAAAGGTAAAAAACTATACTAAAAGTGCAAACTATTAACATTTACCATAAAACTTTTGAAACTTTGTATAAAATATACATATATATAGGTGTAATAATAAATTTGAAATAGCTACTCCTATAGTCGGTTTGGTTCGGTTTTTTTCTGATTAAAACCAAAACCAAACCAAATTTGATCGGTTTTAAAATTCAAAACCAAAATCAAACCAAACCAAAAAGTATCGATTTTTTTGGTCGGTTTGGTTTGGTTCGGTTTTTCGGGTTTTTATGAACACCCCTACTGGTAGGGCACACCAGAAGCGAGAAATTTATGGAGGGAAGTAGGGAACTGATTTGGTTTTTTCATTTTTGGTAAAATGGGGGATTTGCATCTACACCCGCTTTTTGGGTCACGTTTTAACTTGTGCTCGCTTTGCAAAAAAAATTGCAAGCGTACCCACTTTTTCGCGAACTTCAGCATACGGGGCTGAAGTAGCAAAGGCAATCACGCAAAACTTCAGCATTCTAGTAGGCGGGCCTGAAGTAGCAAAGGCAATACGCTGAAGTTTTTTTGTCCTAGATAAGATGCTGAAGTTATTTAGTTCATTTGTAAAAAACTTCAGCGCTAAAATAGCTGAAGTTTTTTTGTCCTGGATTCATTAGTTTTGTCATAAAACTTTTTCAAAAACTTCAGCAGAAGATGCTGAAGTTATTTAGTTCATTTGTAAAAACTTCAGCTATTAAAATAGTTGAAGTTTTTTTGTCCTGGATAAGCTTTTTCAAAAACTTCAGCAGAAGATGCTGAAGTTATTTAGTTCATTTGTAAAAACTTCAGCACTATATAAGCTGAAGTTTTTTTGTCCTGAATTCATTAGTTTTGTCATAAAGCTTTTTCAAAAATTTCAGCAGAAGATGCTGAAGTTATTTAGTTCATTTTTAAAAACTTAAGCACTAAAATAGCTGAAGTTTTTGAAAAAGCTTTCTAACATACTAGATAAATAATCACCTTATTCTGTCATAGTGTATTACTATTATAAAATTCAGATTGCCAACAATATCTAAATCATAAATTTTGGAAAAAATAAACGTGAAAAGAATAGAATTACGTGGAAATATTCACAAATTATTGTCTACTAACTTACGTAATTATTTATAATTTTGTTTTTAAATAATTTGATAAACATACTTATGTCAATCATCCAATGAACTGAAGTTTCATAGCAGCACCAACAGCAGCAGAAGAAAGAAGAAGAAGAAAAAGAAGAAGAAGAAAACGAAGGAGGAGAAGGAGGAGGAGAAAGGGGGCTGAAGCTGTTTAAAAAATGGGTACAAGTTAAAACTTTTTAAAAAAATGGGTATATGTTAAATGGGGGCGACCAAATAGGGCGCCCCGTGCAATTTTTACAAAATATACTTGTATATATTTGTTGGGCTAAACTAGCCCAAATACACTCTTAATATGGTGTGATATTGTTCGTTTTGGGACAAACCCGCACGGTTTTTCCCAAAAGGCCTCAAATCATCAAGAAATCCCTACACCTTATATGTAGACTCCCAATCTTTTCAGCTACCAATGTGGGACTTTATTCGCACACCCAACAATCTCCCCCTCGAACTAAGTTCCACGTGGCCCACTACCACGATCCACGGGTTAATTTTCGGGATTACTGTGTGCGGCACCCGAAGCCCGCAACTAGCTTTTGTTTGCGTGCGATCCCGCACCATCACTCCGCCATCTCCATACTCGTCCCGCTGAACCTGGGCTCTGATACCAGTTGTTGGGCTAAACTAGCCCAAATACACTCTTAATATGGTGTGATATTGTCCGTTTTGGGCCAAGCCCGCACGGTTTCCCCCAAAAGGCCTCACACCATTAAGAAATCCCTACACCTTATATGCAGATTCCCAATCTTTTCAGCTACCAATGTGGGACTTTGTTCGCACACCCAACAATATTTTGGGCAAATTATATTTTCTAAGACTTTGGTGGTGGCAGCATACTTCTTTTCACTTTGCTAATCTTAATACTCCCTGACCTTAAAAATGGATTACTTTGTATAGAATTATAACTGTGGGGTTAATTCACCAATTTAGCTTTTAAAAATATTCGATTAACCGAAGGACCTGGGAAACTATGCCAAATGCCTTTCTTAGGAAATATATCTCAAATGACAAATACTCCTATTGTTCTAATTTATTTGAAATATTTTTTTGGTCTGTCTAAAAAGATATTTTTACTTATAAATAATTTAAATTTAAAGGAATATACTCTGATTTTGTTTGACTAGTACCGAGTTTAAGGAAAAAAGAAATATTTTAAAATTTATAATCTAAAACAAATATAAACCACTAAAGAAAGTAGGTTTATAAATTATAGAATAAATGGAAAAGGGTTCAAAATGCCCCTAAACTATTGGAAAAGGTTTAAAAATACCCTTCATCCGCCTATTGGGCTAAAAATACCCCCCCATCCACCTTTTTGGTTCACTTATGCCCTTTGACTGTTAGGTCAATGCTGAATTAAAAATAATTACTTAAAAAAATATTTTGCAAAATATTTTTGTTTTTTTTAAACTAAAGCACCAGTAGTCCACTAATTTAGTAAAGTCTTCTTTT